CTGGAAATTCAATTTCCTTGAGGGAGTCATCCCAAAGGGATCAATAAAGTGAAGTCTAAGTCTATATCAATACCATCAATGAAACAATTTTGCCAGCATTTTAATTTTTTTGCGTTTTATGCCATTTATTTGTCATATACAAAATTACCTTATAATTCTTATATACATAACAACTAATGTCAAACAAGGAAATAATAACATGCCAAGAATAAAAAATAGAAACACTGATAATGATGGTTATGACGATGATAATGACAACCAAAACAATGAAGCTGCTGGACATAAAAACGAAACAATCTGAAAGATGCTAGAAAGCTCTGTAAAACTGAGGGGAAATCTTGATTGGTTCATCACTTTGAGTGAAAATATATTTTTTTTAAAGGACAAATATGTTGCCAGTGCACAAAAAAAGGAATAGAAATTTGAATGAAAAGAAAAAAAGAAAAAAAACCACTAATAACGCTTTGGAAAGTATGTGTATTTTGTTTGGGTATAGGTTAGTGCCCATGAATAAAATGGTTTCCACTAACCTCCAGTGACCTGTGTTTAAACCCCAAGTCATGCACAGGCATTTAATATAGTGGCACGATGTTCATTCATTAAGGGAAGCCGTGGGTCAGGGAAATTTTTCAATAAACTAATTCAGTTTTCATTCAATGAGGTAAGCTTTAAGGTCAAGGTCCCACTCATTCATTTGGTCCTCCTTCAACTGTGCACCTCCTATTCCTTCTTATGTGGTTAGACTTGAGTTTCTTATATTTGACTCATACAATGAAAAAACAAAATCTTAATAGATCTTTTGTAATTTAACCATGACCTTTGATTCACAGTTTACCTTCTCTACATTGGTTAACTTTCTCTCAAGTTATAGGTGAAAATATATTTATAATAATAGTGTCAAATTCATGCTTTCTGTTGAGATATAATATATACTACTAAATGCCTGCTCATGTCACGAACATTTGAACATACTACCATTAAATTATTGTGGATTTGAATGCCCTTAGTATAAGATGGAAAGGTGAAATGAGACAGTTGTAGAAAATGAGGGCTTCAATGTGGAGAGGACATAAGGAGGATAAAATGTTACTAGTAAAAGGTTGTAGAATGGAGGAGTATAAATTAGAGAGAATATATTGAGGTTTTATGTTGTTAATTTAGGTAAGATGGAATTCAAACAAATAAGAAAGTAAAGTAAGTAAGCTTCATCACGAAGGTGGCAAGAGGTACCTTCACTCATTACTGGAAGTGAGAAAACCAGCAGGATTGGCTAATAGCAGGTGGCTGGAAAAAACCCAAAGGCTGGACAAGTAGGTGTCTAAAGTGGTCTGTTGAAGTCTCTGGACAATCGAAGAAAATTAGATGGTTGAATAAATCACACTAAATCACCAACTGCTCAAGTACTCTTAGCCTGATCTTGGCTGCTTTTTCCCTCTATTTGTCTAATTTACTTGAGCACAAAAATGTGCTTAAATGTGCAAATTCTACCAGTTATTGCAAAATGTATATTCTATTTGTGTGTTTATACTCATTTAGTCTTTCTCCCTGCTGTTGCTGCTCTGACAACCTTGATTCCCTTTCCCCATAGAAATCATTAAGGTTCGTTTTAACTTATTCAAAGGTTAATAAGGTAAGTGAAATATAAGGAACACCTTACAAATACTTAACAGGTATCTGTTAATGATACAGTCCAGTAATTTATAGTACTAACACAGCAGTCCTCTCTGGATGGCATTAGCATCACTAGGTGAGGTGATTTGATTTGCAGCGTCAGTCAATCACTCAGTTTGTAGGATAATTGTCTATAATCCCACCACACAATTTTCTACAACAGTAAAATGCAGCTGTCTTCTAAATTAGATTATATATTATAGTCATTTACATGTATATGACCAGTCCTCTTATCAAAATAGAGGTACTGTAGTACCCTTTTTTTATAGGGATAGGTGATTTTTACCAGAAATGACTGACGTGTTTGTTAAAGATTTCCACAATCCTAAGGTAAAAGTGAATTAGGAGGCTCTCTTTGTACCATCTTGAAAGATGAAATCAATGTGTGTGGAAATCCAAGGACGGTGCCAGCTGGGGACAAAGCACCAAATCTGGAAACTATCCTTGGGAAAATTCTCAGATTCACAAGGTTTCTTAACATATGTCTTAACAGGTTTGTTTCTGAGGAATTTGTTCAAAATCCTTGAATTACAAAAGCACAGTTAGCATCAACCTTTAATCTCAGAGAGTGACACCAGCAATATAATTAGTTATTTTTAAGATTGCATGTTAGCATATTCTTTCCCTTGGTGGAAAGAACGACCTGATGTAGCATCTGTCATTGTTTCAGTTGGGCAGTTGGTCATCAACCAGCCTTTCTCCTGACTACTGATTCTCTTGTTTACTATAACAACTTCATAAGGAGCTTTCTCTCAAACCCTCTTTGGTGAAAGATGTGGGAAGCTTTCCCAAGATCACATAAATAAAGGTTAAAAGAAAAGAAAATGAATCAAAGGGGAAAATGTACATAAACTGAATAAAGGACCACCTACAGTAAAAAGGGAATCGTAAAGGAATGTTGGACAAGATGAATGCAAGAGCTGTGGCTTTGAGATGCAGAGAAAATGAGGGCTATGTCAGAGACAGCGGTGGTGTCAGATGGATTTACATAAGAAACACAGCGATCTAAGAGCAGCCAGAACCCAGCTTTAGTAAAGGGCTCAGCTAGGGCTTCCATGGCATGACATGACACAAGACCTGATTTCAATGCAGAGGTTCTTAAGGGCTTCGACACAAATGTGAGCACACGGGTGAACATGTGAGTTGTACATGGGTAACACAATTTGGGGGAAAATTTTGAACTTCTGGTGTAAACTCAGCAGGCAAAGTACACTTCCTGCAAATTTCTTTGATTTGCAATTAAATTTGAGAAACTTATTTGTGCCACTGACCAATAGCAAGCAATGTTCACCTGCCTGACGTTTGAGCACTCTAGCTGGACAGTCCAAAACGGAGGAAGCTATCATAGCTTATTAGCTGTGTCGCACCATTCATTTTTATTTTACCTCCTTTGTGGGTGTATAAATTGAAACAGGAGTCTCATAACTGTGTATTTTAAACGGTGTGAACTTATAGTCCTGCAAGCTAACAAGCTTGCTAAATGACAGTTAGCAGCTAACTAGCTTAGAGAGCTTCTTTTTCCACTTTAACTCATTATTGAATGCAATAATGTACAATTAGTAAACGCCCGGTATAGACAAAGTAGTCTCCAGTCATGTTCTCCAGCTCCTCCTGATCGCTCCAAAGAGGTTCCCAGGTCTCAGATCTGCACCAGGGTCTACAATTTTCATTGATTTACCAGGGATTTACTAAAGGGAGGCCCTTCTAGGATGCTCAATCAACCTCATTTGACTCCTTACAACATTAAGTAGCAGAAGTTCTTGTCTGAGCTCCTTTCAGATTGCTGAGTTTCCTGATGACCTTATGAAGTAAACTCATTTCAGCTACTCCTATATGGGCTTTTCTGACTACTTAAACTGCCACTTGGCCCAATGCCCACAAGGTGGTCAGGTGGGCAGTAACGTTAAAGGCGCCGTCCTTGGCATGCTAGTTTTATGAACGTGATCCACACATCTTCAAACCCCACTGAGAGCATTTCAGAAGCGAAGCGTCTTTGCAGAGTGTTGTCTACTATACGTTGTATTTTGTCCTTAAAAAGCATACAAAACAGTGTGTTTCTCCACTTAAAAGTTCCTCTAACCTGCCTCTGACTGATTGACTTACTGTCTGGTGGCACAATGTTGATCTAGTGTGAAATGCGAGTGGGTCGCGGCTTCCATCAAAAATAGAACAGCCGCGTATCCTACGAGGAGCAGAGCAGAGAGACGCTTCTGTGATGCTTCAGAGACGCATCGTGGCCATGTCTGGTGGAATTTGGGGGTTTCATTTGGTTTAAATCCAAAGTTCAGGGTTGGAACATAGATCAGCTGGTAAATTGAGACCTTTGCCTTCGGGCTCAGCTCCCCCTTCACCACAGGGGTCCAGTACCATATAGCACATGCATCACTGCAGACAGCACGTCAATCTGTTGAACTGCTGATGTTGATCTCATCTTATCCTTATGAGCAAGCGAGAAGACGTGAGACAACAATCACATGTCTCAATCAATTTGGCTTATAAAAATGTTCACGCACACACATGGGCTTATATCATCGTTTTGTAAATACAAAGCAAAAAGCTTGAATAAGAAACCTCCACAGTGAGTTTTGCTTTCAAATTAAAAGTGTACAAAAGGAAAAGTATTTATTCTAAAGGTCTACTCAGG